GATGGACCTTTCCTCCTTCAATCTGTCTAATCCCCCTTTAAAGCAATCTATGCTCATGTATACTACATCCATTGGCAGTGAATTCCACAGTAATTAATTGTTGAGTAAAGTAGTATTTCCTTTTGTTTGTCCTGAATCTGTCAGAATTTTCACTGGGTGCCTCCCAAGTTCAGTGTTATTATTATTATTTATTAAATTTATACCCCGCCCTCCCCGCAAGCGGGCTCGGGAGAGAAGAACTCTATAAATAATTTTATAAGCCTCATTCAAACACACCCATCTTATCTTTTTCTAAACTGAAAAATCACAGAATCTTGAGTCTTACCTCAGAAGAGAGGTGATCTAACCTAACAATCATTTTGGTTGCCCTCTTCTGCATTTATTCCACCACTACAATATGTGTTTAGAGGGGCACAGACCAAAACTGTACACAAGTCACAGATCTACCAGCTGACTAGTTCTGCACATAGCCTTTTAAATGAACCTTCTAAAGCCAAAGCAACAATGACAACCCTTATTTAAAAGGCAAATGTTAAAAATCCTTTCTAGGAAAACAGGATCCTATGTTGTAGATTCTGTGCTGTACTATTTTGGTCTATTTTGCTGGTCTTATCACTGTTCTTAATAAACTTACTTACTTTCTAGGAAAACTGTTTAAAATATACACAACATAATTATGTGCTAAGAGACCTTTCTAGAACTACAACATGTCAGTTGGTAAGTAAGAGATGACACTGGTGGATGCTTCCCAACTTAAAAAGCAAGAGCCAACCTGCACAGCAGATAGAAAACTGGCAAGTCAGGAAGAGAACATTTTAAAAATGTGATCTGATCCTCCATCTGCAATTATATCATATGATTTTGTGGAACATGAACCCTGTGGTCTCACCCATCCCAGCTGCACCTTTTATGATGGTGTGTTAGCACCACAGACTTGAAGATCAGAACAAGAACTACTCAAATGACCACTGTAAAGTTTTCTAATCACATGTAAATACCAAGCTTATATTTGGGGAATAGTTGTTCTCTTGACCTAGGGAAGCTAATTATAAAAATGTTGCTGCCCCTCTGTTATAGATCTGTGTGACGTGCTTAAGGCACATCTTGCTTTGATCAAAAGACAGCAGTGACAAGGTAGACCATAATTACATCACTTAATTCCACTGGCTTCAGCACCATTCATAAAGAATGCATTGATACATGTTTCAGACTAATTTTGCTCTGTAAAATAACATTTAAGTGCATAACAAAAGGGCTCTTATGAGTGCATTATTTTAAAACAAGTTTTACTGCAGGCATGCAAAGGTAATACTAGAAGCAGGAAAAAAAATAATACATACTCCAAGAAGGTACGTCACACAGTTCCATGCGTTCGTTTTTGTTTTACTGTGGGAATGGGGATGTTGAGAGTCCCAATACTGACAATTGTGACCGGACTTGGTAACACTGATAGTACCTCTATAATCCACTCCGGAGCCATTGTAACACTGGTGATCTGCAAAAAGGGTTTTACAGAAGATGCATGATTAATAGGAGGCCATTCCCCTTCCTGCCTCCCTTCAAATTTTACTAAATCTATTTTTGATATACCATGGAACAAAAATATGATAAGACAAGTGGTGACCCAAGAGTGGGGTTCCCCCCTCCAGCCTGCACCCCCAGCTTCGTCACAGTGCTGTTGTCCCCCACATCCCAACTAGGGTTGCCAGGTAAATTTATCCGGCCAGCAGGGATCTCCCAATGTCCTTCCAGGAGACTGGAAGTGATGTTGGGCATTTTTGGGCCTACTTCTAATTTCAGGCCTTCTTCTGGTTGGGGGGGGGGGTTGACACTGGTTTTTGGGTAAAACTCTATGGTAAATTTGGATTCAAACTTCAGAGTTTTGCCCTAAAACCGGAGTGTCAGCCCCAAATGGAAGTAGGTCTGAAACCGGAAGTAGGCCTGAAAAGATCAGTTGGGGGTGGGATTTCCCCCTGGTGGCCAGTTGCCTGGTGGTGGGCAAGAGCCTGCAAAAGCAGAGCTCCTATGCTCCCATCGGGGGGCTGACAACCCTAATCCCAACAGCTTTGACACTTCAGCAGCAGCGGCTCCCCTCCAGCCTGCCGACCCCAGCTTCACTGCAGTGGCAACTCCTCCCCAGCCCTGCTGCTTCAGTGGCAGTGGCTCTCTCCCAGTCCACCCAACCCTACCTTCACTATCTCAATGGCTCAGCTGCAGTGAGGGAGTAGGAGCTCTGTCTATACTTGCACAGACAATGCTCTTATATTTGGGGGGATTTAACCCCCACCTCAATTTTTTTTCAGTTTTCAGATTTTTCTGCAAATGGAGGGGGGACTATTTGCCTGAAAAATCTGCCTTCTGTCAGTCAGGCCCTGATCCACAGATGGGGCCACACTTTACTATTAGAATATACAAGCAGTGACCCACAACACTCATGGGGGGAGGCATCCCATCCTTCCCTATGCTGGGCAAGCTACTTGCCAGGCAAATCACTCACATGCAATGCTGCCACTGCTGCTTTCCCCCCCATCTGCCCAGCTCACCTTACTCACCCACTCCCAGTGGTGGAGTGTCGGTATTAGCAGCTCCTCCCTCCTTGCTTGCATTGCTACCCCTCCACAGCTTACATGGTAGTGATGGGGGTAGTGGCTCCCACTACTCCCCTGCCCTCCTGTCCATCCTCCCCATGCTTGCTAGTCAGTTGGTGATTCCTGGTTTGCCTCCCTGGCTAACTGTTGCTCTGTCACCTCAGTAGTGGGGAGAGGGAGGCACAGACTTCTGCTCCCTCCCCACCTCCTATCTGAGGAAATAGGGCAGGCCTGTGCTCTTCACATACCACAAAGGATGAATACCACCAGACAATGGAGGTGTATTGTTTACCCTGAGTGCTCCCACTGCTTCAATGGCAGTGGTGGCTCCCCCAAGTGGTGGTGGTGGCAGCTCTCCTACCTGGGCACCTACCCTGCATCTTTGCTGCCTCAATGGCAACAGAAGCAGAAACTCACTTAGGTGTCTGGCCACAGGGCTGGCAAAACTTATCCTCACTTCTTAGTAAACTCTTCAGCTTCAAAATATTTTATAGGTCATTCTTCTGATGTTTAAATAAGATTAAATGGTTGATTCAAAAGTGACGTGTGGAAAAAATCTGATTGTGCAAACAGAAACCAAAATAATACAGAATTTATGACTTTTTCACCAGTCATTTGAACATCCCAAAGCAAATGGATTACAGCAGAGATGCAAAAAACCCTATGTCTAGACCAGGGGTGGCAGAGAAAGAAAGAAACTTTAAATACATTCTCAAAGCCCCCCTGCCCGTTGGCTTGGAGAAGGCATTTGTCTCTTTAAATTCCTTCTCCAAGCCAAGCCAAGCCAAGCCAGCTGGGGTGTGGTTGGGGTTGGAGAATGCATTTGAAGTTAAAGCTGCATTCTTTCCACCTCTCCCTTCCTTCTTCCCTCCCCATTTCCTTCCTTCCTTCCTTCCTTCCTTCCTTCCTTCCTTCCTTCCTTCCTTCCTTCCTTCCTTCCTTCCTTCCTTCCCCCCCTCTGCAAATAAATATCATTAGCAAACAAATAAATATTATTGGACAAAAAACCATTATCAATATCTGTTTTTACCCCTTTTGTTTTTATTTTTGGCAGTCTCATTTAATGTTAATGTAAAGCAAATTTGCATATTTTCCAGTAAAAACTTGTGTGTAATATTTGTTCATCTCTTGTGGCTCTCAAACATCTGACGTTTATTCTGTGTGGCTCTTATGTTAAGCAAGTTTGGCCACCCCTGGTCTAGACCATCTAACTTTTCACAAAATTCATATTCCTTCAGCATCGCTCTCTGTAAACTTCTATTTTTGTCCTCTTCTTTTCCTTTCCTCTAGTTCTCTTTCTCCTTCCATGACTTTTTTTTTAAAAAAAGATCTATTTTCCTGCAGTTATCTACCAATCACTATTCATAATTTTTACTTTCTGTCTGGTTTTGCTTTACTTCTCTAAATAGAACTGTTCTGGCTTACTTAACACATCTCATTAAAAACTGCCCCAGTCACGACAAGGTGCTTTGCATTGGCTGGCTGCCTCTGCCGTGTCATTCTGGGGGGTAGAGAAAATCTTTCCAGAGATGTCATTCCTACACTCTTCTGCCAGGCTTATTCCTCGGTGCATTCTTAACACCACAAGTACGTTACAGCAGCACAAAGGTTATGGCACAGCATCATGTACACATTGCATTTTGCTGAAAACTATCAAGCTGAAAATGTTCAGAATATATGAGGGGCAGCCCTCCCTAACAGGGAGGTCTGGCAGTGGCTCAGGTGCCTAGGGCAGAATCTGGATTCCTCTGGCAATTGCCGTTTACATCATGCAGAAAGAGGCTGCAGTAGAGAGAGGTTACATTTGCTGTTTCTTCTCCCCCCCACACACATACACCATACAGCACCCCTTCCAAGTCAGCAACAGGCATTCTAGAGAGAATGTGAGCCAAATGCAACATGATTTACATCATAAAGGAATACACATGGAAAAACATGACACTGGAATGAAAAGAAAAGATCCACAGTTAGGAGCAGACAGGACTCTGGTCTGCTCACAGATTTTCTTGCAATGTCCATATAAACTTTGGGATAAGAACATTTCACACATATATTCCTCCAGAGAAAAAACTGCATCAGCTCAACATCCTCTCAGTTTTAGACTCTCTCTCTTTTTAAGACAGAGGGAGTTAAAACAGAAGAAACAAGATGCCCAAATCAGGTATCTTTTTTACCATGGAAATCAGTTTAATTACCTACCTTGTCTCCCGTACCCAAACTAATACCTTCCTTGTCAGAGAACTATATGCTCTCTCAAAACCAACCCTTCTTTACTCTTGCTACTTGAGACCATGGTAAAATTTTAAAAATACGTAATACCAAATGTTATTACATTAACAACTTAAAATGCACCATTTATAACTTATCACATTAAAGAGCTGCATTTGGTATATTTATGAAATTTAATTTTCTAGAGGCAAAACTACAAATAAACCCAATCCTAAAGAATCAAGAGACTGCCTACAACAACTTATGTGACCTTATCATGTATCTTTGTATTTGCTATTTGTGAGGTAGTAAAAAATTCAATTTGAAAACAGAACACACAAATTTTTGTAACATAGTATGTTAAATTAGAGAGAAACAGCCTCACAGAGTCACAATAGGACTAGCACTATATTTGGATATTGAGATAAGCTTTAAAACATTGAAAACTTCAAAATCTTCAGTAGTATATTATCATCATGCAAACAAAAAATTGTGGACAAAATTATCCTTGAAAATATGCTATGCAAGTGTACAGTATACATAGGAATTCATTTCTAAAATTGTGGCTTGTGTCGTATAAAATATTTGCACTATGCATTGTCAGTAAAGCCTTGCGTGAAAAAGCACTTCATCATTCTAAAGGATGATTTCTCTTTATTTCACTATATTTTACTTTTTCTCAGTGCTCCCTCAAGTTTCCAGTTTTCCTACTGGAAAAACTTTTTGGAAAAGATCTTTTAAAAACTATTTGCATGGGTTTTATCCCTAGGCCTTCTCTAAGATGAAAAAAGACAAGCCAAACAAAATCTTTGGATACTATAGTGCTTATGATGCTGTCAACTCTGAATCTACTTCTCCTATTGCCCCTTCTTCCGGACTGTATTCCCAGACCTGTTCAAGAATTATTTTCATCATTTTTATTTTATAGTATTATGTTTCTTTTCTATAATGTATGTTCCATAAACAAAAATACAAATTAGATCAAACCAAAAACAAAATCTTCTACCAAATTAACAGGATTTGAACCTGTTCATTTTTGCCTCTAGAGTATGGAAATATTCTACAATGTAAGATTACAAAATTGATAAACAATATTAAAGATGTCCTTTCCTCATAATGGTAATAGCTCTTGTTTATTAAGTTAAATCTTATTTACACTTAACATTCTCCCTTCATTCAACCCTTTCAGCAATAGGCAAATCAATAGCACATAGGAACACAGCTTCAAGTAACAGATTGACTCATCAGGTAAAAAAATTAAATAGTTTTAAAATTATTAACTAATTGGTACCCCCACATAAATATGATATTTTATCACAGTCAAAACAAGGTTAAAAAGCTGGCCAAACTTACATCTGTTGAGCCGCTCTACAGGTATTCCAATTTTTATGCAATTGACAGCCTCTAAAGTGTCTGGTAATGGCAAGTCTTCACACTTAGGGGGTTGGAGCTGCACCAGAATGTGTGGATTAGACCTGGCAATGTTGTACTCCTGCCTACAGAGGTCGTTTTCCAGAACTTCACACTCGTCCCGACAAAGCTCTCTTGGTTTAGGTGTCCGAGAGTGTTCATCACACAGAGGAAACACGAAATGACAGAAAGATGGGATGGCAAACTGAGAGCACTGATCAGACAAATGGGTGGATGTGCCAATCATAGTAAATGCAGCTGAAAAGAAAGGAATAAAGCAAAGCCAATAATTAAGATCTGATTTATAATAAAATAAATAATCCATTGTTAATTTCACAATTTCCAGAATTCTCTTGAGGAAAGTGTGGCAATTAAACTGGCATAAACTAGTAAACAGGGCTGGTTGAAATATGAATTAGTCTTAGGGCTGCAAGCCTCTAGGTGGGTCCTGGAGATGTTCTGGAATTACAACTGATCTCCAGGCTACAGAGATCAGTTCCCACAGAAAAAAACAGTTGTTATGGAGGGCAGACTTTGTGGCAATATATCCTGATGAGGTCCCTCCTTTTACCCTGTCTTCCTTGGGCTCCACCTCCAAATCTCCAGGAATTTCCTAACCCAGAGTTGCCAACCCTTATTAGCCTCCATGCATTCATTTCAAACATCTATAACCATACATATTGGTAATGTATACATCTATGCTCTTATTTCTGTAGCTTAAAAAGATAGCCCTATCAGCAGTGACTCCCAAGTACAAGAAGGAGGAGGAGGAGGTTTTATACCCTGCTTTTCAGTACCCAAAGGAGCCTCAAAGTGGCTTACAATCACCTTCCCTTCCTCTCCCCACAACAGACACCCCATGAGGTAGGTGGGGCTGAGAGAGCTGCTCTTGAGAGGACAGCTCTGAGAGAACTGTGATGGACCCAAGGTTACCCAGCTGGCTTAAAGGTTTCAAAGGGGAAGGATTGAGGAATTATAGTCTCAGATTATAGTCTGCCACTCTTAACCACTATACCACAATGGCTCTGAGTATCTGCCACTTAAAATCTCCTGTGTCTGCAGTAAGATTCTCCAGCAAATCTGTGGTTCTAAAAGTCACCTTCACTGTAGCTCTTCTGCAGCTCCTGAACCTCCCTTTATATGTGTCATAAACTACTAGTAGTTCTCAAAATATCAAGTGAGCATTACTGCCATAAGGCTCTTACTTTGTGTGTGTGTGTGTGGGGAAGTACAGAGGAGGGCAACCAAGATGGTTAAGGGGGGTTGGAGCACCTTCCCTACGAGGAAAGGCTGAAGAGTCTGGGACTTTTCAGTTTAGAAAAGCGATTACCCGGGGGTGGGGGTGGGGACAGAGGTTTATAAAATTATGCACAGCGTGGAGAGAGTTGACAAACAGAAATTTTTCTCTGTCTCCCAGAATACTAGAAGTCGAGGTCTGTAAAGAAAAATGGTTCCTTGCTTTGCTCTGGTTCAGGCTGCAGAGAGGTGGTTAGAGACAGTTAGAACACAGTAACCCTGCCAGCTAAATTGCTTGCAGATGAAGTGCTAGGGAGTACCACTTCGCCTTGGTCCTCCCAATTAGCACATTCCAGGCAACTTAAGTTATGTGGCACCTGTGTGGGAAAGGGCAGGACCTAGCTGCAGCATGGTTTCATTTCTCCCTCCTCTCTGGTCCATCCCTGGATATCATGTGCCTAGTAACCTACAGAGAGTTACATCATCTCTCTGGTTTCTGATTGGCCTAACAGGCCTGAGGTCAACCACAGACCCTCTGCATATATCTAGTTAGCTTTTGCTATATGGCTGGGCTTTGTGACCAATTGGCACTGAAGCATGTTAGTGGTTATACAGCTCCCTTGACCAGTATCCATCTTGACTGCTGCTTGGAAGGACTATGCCCTGAACATCTTGACTTGCTAAAGCTAACTGCCTAAACTGAACCATAACGGTAAATTTGGAACCTTGACTCTATGTATTACCTATGTGGGATATGCTTAGATTTAATTTTTTATTCTTTCACAGTCTTATCTTATTTGAATATTTTTGCACTATAAATAAATCACTATATTTTTATTTTGTCGTGGTTTTTGCCTTCATTGATCTCAGAGCCTTGGCCTTTGACCACCTACCAGCTAACTGTTTTGTGTTTGGAAACTCAGTCTGCAGTTCCACTCTGCAGGGCTGACTTCTCTTGTTAATTCCCTGAGAAACCGGGAGACTTATCCTTTCCCTCCTAGGCTGTTGGGATAGACTAAAAAGACTGGTGGCATCTACCAAGACTAGAGTGAGATTTAGTTTCTCTCTGGTATTTTGTAACTTTGTTTTGCTGCAACCTCTTTGTACCAAAAGTCCTTACCTGGGGTTGGGACAGGGACTTTTGACAAGATCATCCAGTGAAGCTGATGGGCAGTAGATTCAGAACAGACAAAAGGAAAGACTACTTTTCAGAGACAGTGATTAAAATGTAGAATTTACTGCCAGAGTATGTAGTGATGGCCACAGGAATAAACAAGTTTAAAAGGGGATTAGATAGATTCATTCATCAATGGCTACTAACCATGGTGACTGAGGGGAGCCTCCACATTCAGAGGCAACTAATCCTTTGAATCCCAGAGCCAGGAGGCAACATCAGGGGAAGGCCTGAGCCTCTGTGCTCTGTTGTTGGCCATCCAAAGGAACTGGTTGGCCACTGTGTAAGACACGATGCTGGACTAGATGGACCACTGGTCTGACCCAGCAGGGTTCTTCTTATGTTCTTACGACTGTAAAAGGAAAGCTAGCTTGTTTCCAGTTCCAATCAGCATTGTTAGATTAAACTTTTATAACTTTAATTTCTCAAATATGGGAAGTCTAGAAATCACACCCAGGACCTGGAGAGCCTTCCAGATAATCCAGGAAGTTCTGGGATGAGAAGCGCATAGTGAATCATATAAAAAAGGCATGATGCACAAGATCAAATACATGGCATTCCATAATTTGTTGTTAGTCCAACTCTGAACGCAAGTCCCAGGGTTAAGCACTGGTGAGGGCTGTTCCCAACTAATTCATAGTGTTCTCAGTATGCTGAATACTTTTACAAAATTATTATTTCTTCGCTTACAAAAAATAAAATTACAATTTTTTAGGAAATACTGGGAATTTCTAATTGATTTAAAAGATGTCATATACAGTTTACACATTATTTTGAGGTTTTTATATTCCGCTTTTCACTACCTTAAGGAGTCTTAAAGTGGCTTACAATCACCTTTCCCTTCCTCTCCCCACAACAGACATTTTGCGAGGTAGGTGGGGCTGAGAGAGTTGTGAGAGAACTGTGACTATGACTGTCCCAAGGTCACCCAGCAGGTATGGATGAATGGGGAATCAAACCCAGTTCTCCAGATTAGAGTCCGTCGCTCTAAACCACTACACCACACTGGTTTAGGAGGACTCCATGGATCCCGATTATTCCCATACTGCAGATGGAATGCTGAACCAGAGACCGCAGCTTGCTTAAGGCTAACTATTAATGGCAGAAATTGGAGACTTCTTCCAATTTGTAGCTCAGTCTCTTACCACTATGCTATGCCTGTATGACAGCTCTTGTACATGTACTGATTTTGCTTTTGGCATCTGCCCAACGGGAAGATGTTTTCTTCCTGCTACTACTTGTTGTATGCAGTTAGCATGGTTGTCCAAGATCTTCTAACATGTTTTATTGCTTGAAAGGACTTGTCATACCACACTAAATGTCTGGGTAGACAAAGGAAACCATTAATTTCTCAGTTTCCCTCTCACTTAAGCTTCTTTGCCTAAGGCCACCAGTACAACAGCCTTTCCTCTAAAGTCTTGAATTTTCCTTGACACCTCCTTTTATCTTTTCTATAACTTCTGAAACTCACATCATAATGGATTTGACTCAATCGGAGGTAGTGTGCTTGAATCGTCACTCAAGATGCTGAGTGAGGACAGCGAGAGGACAGCATGTAGTCTAGTACTCTCATACCCTCCATCGTCCGTAAGCTCCCCTTAGGAGGCTTGTGAAATCTGAAATTTTCTCACCACCTGGGAATGGATTTAATTAGTGCTGATGTATGCACTATGTATTTTATTGTAGGATTCTAACTTCTAGTTATTTATGGTATGTTCCTTTCTGCTGTAAGCTGCCCTGAGCCCTGCTTGCAGGGAAGGGCGGACTAAATAAATAAATAAACAAACAAACAAACAAAAGCTCCAAGAGGACCTCCACAAACTAGGTGAGTGGGCAACAATGTGGCAAATGAAGTTCAGTGCTGGTAAGTGTAAAGTGATGCACTTTGAGACAAAAAAAATTCAACTTCAAGTATAGGCTAATGGGGTTTGAACTTGCTAAGATTGAGAGGGGAAAAGATCTTGGGGTCGTAGTGGATAACTCAATGAAAGTGTCAGCCCAGTGTCCTGTAGTGGTGGAAAACACAGACTCTGTGTTAGGGATGATTGAGTGGTTGAGCAGTGGAACAGTCTGCCTCGGGACTGTTTCAGTTTAAAACATTAAACATTAAAACACAATAAAACATTTTAACAATTAAAACAATGGGTACAACTTGGGACAGCATAAGTTGGCCATAGAGTTCTGGCCTGATGGTACAATGAGTTAAAGGCCAGGTGTTGGTGGTCAGTAGACAGGTGACAGACTGGTGACAGCAACTTCAGGGAGGCCATAGATGGGCACCTGCTGCCTCAACCAAAGGCCTGGCAGAACAACTCCATCTTGCAGGCCCTGCGGAATTAAAGGAGATTCCGCAGGGCCCTGGTCTCAATAGGGAGCATGTTCCACCAGGTTGGGGCCAGGACAGAGAAAGCCCTGGCTGAGGCAAGATGGGTGTCCTTTCATTTCTCCATGCAAGTCAATGGTGAAGTATTTGTTCAACTAACCTATATTGCAAACAAGAGTACTATTGATGGGGTACACCTGCAGTGACTAGATGCACTTAATGGGTACAACTAAAGCAGTTTTGAGAATCTCAGGATTACATTGTATTCAGGCGTACACTAGTAACAAGTACTGGTAACTTTTCTTGGGAACAAGCGGAAGAGTAAAAGGTAAAAAGGTAAAAAAACCCCAGCAGATTAACTGAACAGTCCCCAAGTATGCAAATGGGAACAAAACAAAGAATATGCACTTAAGCTTGGTCTGCATCAGATTCAGCATAACATCCTTTTCTGTTTGCAATGGTTATAGCTGTACTAAGCAAAAAAGAATGAGAAGTCAACAAAGAAGGAATCTGATGTTTGCTGAT